GTCCTGCTCGGCGTGCCGGGCCCGGACCCGCTCGAGTCGCTCGACCTCTTCGCGGCGCCGCGGCCGCGGGCCGCGCTCCGCGTCGCGCTCGCGGCCGCGGACGTGTCCCTCGCCGGCGCCGCGGGAGACGCCGTCGTCGCGTCGACGGGGCGCGTCGCGCTGACGCGCGACGCGGCGACGACGGCCGTCGACGCCGCCGGCGTCGCCGTGGCGCGCGCGCGGGGGCCGGACCGCGTCGCGCTCGTCGACGCCGTCGACGCGACGGTGCGGGCGACGCGCGACCCGCCGGTCGTCGACGCCGCCGTCGCCGGCCGCGGGGGCGCCATGCGCGTCTACGCGAGCCCCCGCGACGTCGCCGTCGTCGCCGACGTCGCCGCGGGCCTCGCGGGCGGCGCGCGCGGCGCCGCGGCGGCCGGCGGGCGGTCCGCGGCGGCGTTCCGCGTCGACGGCGACCTCCGCGTCGTCTTCTCCGACCGGAGCGACGCGGGCGCGGCGCCGGCGCTCGCGGCGACGCTCAAGGACGCGCGCGCCGACGGCCAGTCGAACGGCGGCGCCGCGTCGTCCGTGGCGGTCACCGCGTCCGTGTCGGCGTTGGACGCGTACGACGAGGCCGCGGAAACCTTCGCGGGCGCGCTCCGCGGGCCCTGCGGCGTCTGCGGCCAGCTGCGGAGCGACGGCGCGGCGACGAGTTTGAGGTTAGCCCTCGGCGACGTCGACGCGGCGGCCGTCGGCGCGCTCGCGGCCGCGGCCGCGCGGCTCGAGGCCGCGATCGCCGCGGCGCGCGACGCGGAGCCCGCGCCGCGGCCGCGGCCGCGCCTCGACGTCGTCAACGGCACGGGCGTGCCCCTGCGCGTGCTCGTCGCCGGCGAGCCCGCGGCGCTCGACCCGGGCGCGTCGCTGGCGCTCGACCCGCTCGCGCGCGCCGGCGACGCCGTCGCGCGCGACGGCCGGCCGCTCGAGCCGCTCCACCTGCTCCCGGCGTCGAGCGACGGCGCGGCGTCGA